TTTCTCTTATTATTGGAGGTTCTTTTATTAAAGAAATGGCAATTTATGTGGATTTTATAGTAAATGCTGCAAATGATGGAAATGTATATTCTTATGTTAGTTTATGTAAAGATTGGAGATGCTGAATCCTCGGTGAAGGTATTGTATTTCCTGCCAAGATCTAAATTTATATTTGTAGATGACATTGTTAGATTTTCTTACTAGGACTAGCTTTTCTACTGGCTGTTGACTTGATTGGACCAGTTTTGGGAGTCATCGATTCTTTTGTTGGAGTGCGAGAGAAAACCAGTGCCCTTTTCGCTTATGGCTTTCTACTGATGAGGTAGCAGAATCTACAAGAAGCCAGGTAGAAGTTTCAACTCTTGTTTCATTACATCTTGTCCTCCCATATTGTATGAATATACCTTTGCACTGGCATGATTAGTGTATCTCTTTACTAATCTAAAATATGTTATGTAAACTCTGTAGGATAAAATTGCTTACCTTTTTTCTTGTTAGTTTTGTGTTTATAATTCCCATATGGCCATATCTATATCTTTTGGAAGGTGTGATTTTTTTTTTTAATTGTATTCATTTGCAAACAAGAATTTAATTGTGAAGTTGGGTCAATAAGTTTTGGTCATTAGACGTACCATATCCGTGGTGGTAGACGACATGCTCTTGAGTTGGAGAAAAACTGTAGTAGGCCATGAGATTAAATTGTTGGCTGTTTTGTTTTCAAAATGTACTCGACATCTGACATGTCACAGTTTCTAACTATCTTAAGAGTTAGTTTTCTTTTTCTTTCCTCCCTTCTAAAAAAAATTTTGTTCAGTTTGATTATATACTGACTTTGAATCGAACTACCTTGGGCAAACTTCTTATCTATTAAGTGGCCTAGCTTAATTTCGAATTTTGAAGAAATTAATGCAACTTGTGCATTCTCATGATGTAGATTGATTACTTCACTTTCAAATTGTACAGACTTCTTACCCTTTAATATAAAAATATTTATATTTTATGAAGTTTTTCCTCAAGCAGATGGAAATCGAGAAACCATACATACAAAATGCACTGGAACAAAAAAATGATAAAAACAAATGAATATTTTTTGCTGTAATGGTATGATTGATATTCCCACTTTCTTCCTTTT